GCCGGGCGGGGTTCGCGCCCAGCGGGAATGCTGAGGGCAGCGGTGAGTGGGGATCGGGATCAGTGGGAATCCTGAGGGCAGCGGTAAGTGGGGAATTCTCAGGAATCCTGAGGGCAGCGGTGGGTGGGGATCAGGAATCCTCGGGAATTCCCATCTGCCAGGGCCGGGAGCCCTGAGGGCAGCGGTGAGTGGGGAATCCTTGGGAATCCTGAGGGTGGGGATCAGGAATTCCCATCTGCCAGTGCTGGACGGGGTACGCGTGCACTGGGACTTCGGAGGGGAGTAGTGAGTAGGGATGGAAACCCTCAGGAAATTGGGATAGGGAATTCCTTAGGAAGGGGTGAGTTGGGATTGGGAATTTCCATCCGCCAGTGCTGAGCGGGATTCGTGACTGCTGGGATTCCTGAGGGCAGCGGTGAGTGGGGATGGGGAAGAATTGGGATTGGGAATTCCTTGGGAAGGGGTGAGTTGGGATTGGGAATTCCCTTGGGAAGAACTGGGATCAGGAATTCCTTGGGAATTCCCTTGGGAAGAGTTTGGATCAGGAATTCCTTGGGAAGAGTTGGGACCAGGAATCCCTTGGGAAGGGGTGAGCTGGGATTGAGAATTTCTTATGAAGGGGTGAGTCCAGGATGTGCCAGCTGGAATTCCCTTTGGAATTCTGGGATGTGCCGCCTTCCCAAAATCCTGCCTCCCATATGGGAATTCCCACTGGAAAAGCTGCTCAGCCTTTGCTGAGGGCTCCACACAAGGGGGTAAAAAATCCCTGTGGAATTCCTGGCTGGAATTGTGAGATCCCTGGGTAACTGCTGGAATCCAGAATCCTGGATAATGTTAAGCTCAGACCCAGCCTTTTGATCCTGTTTTTCCCAGAGTGCTCCCGATGTCCTGAAGGGACTTTCTCCAGAGGAGGGAATGAGAACTGCCAGCCTTGGACCAAGTAGGGATCCCTTTCTGGGGAAAAATCCCTTTTATGGGGGGGAGAAGTCCCTTTTTTGGGGGAAAAAAGTCCTTTTAGGGGAAAAAAGTCCCCTTTTGGGGGGAAAAGAATTCTTTTTGGGGGGGAAAGAATCCTTTTTGGGGAAAAAATCCTTTCTGGAGGAAAAAGTCCTTTTTTTGAGGAAAAAATCCCCTTTTATGTGAAAAAAAATCCCTTTTTAGGGGCAATGTGCTCAGAGCGGCTCTGGAGGTTTAATTTTTCCAGGAAAAGCCCAAATCTGGAGAAATAAATCAGAATAAACCCAGATTTAAGTTCCCCTGAATCCCATCCTTTGGGAATTTGAAAATCCCAAAAGGATTTTTAAGGATTTCCCACCCTTTTTAAAAAAACTTTTGGATATTTTTTTTGGGAGCAAAAAATTCCCGTGTCAGAATCAGCTCTGAAAATCCCAGGCTGGTTTTTCCGAGCAATTCCTTGGATTGATGGAATCATTCCCAGGGGATGTAGGGATGGGAAATGCTGAATTTGCAGGGATAAAAGAAGGTTTGGGATCGTTGTGTGGGTGGGATTTGGGAGCTGTTGGAAAACCCTCGGGGATTCCTTTTCCAGCTGCAGCTTTTTTGGGAAGAGCACGCTCCGAGCTGGCTCGGCAACGGAGGATGCCCTGTGCAGCAGCCCTGGCCTGGATCCCATTCCCACGGGATTCCTGGAAAACAGGGATCCTGTTCCCACGGCGTTCCCAGAAAATAGGGATTCCGTTCCCACGGCATTCCCGGAGAGCAGCTCCAACACATCCGGTCCCAGGGAGATTCCCGTGGTTTGTCGGGATCCCGGCGGCCCCACGGAGCCCGGCTGGGGTAAGGCTGGGGAGGGAATTCCTGGATTCACACCAATTCCAGGATCCCACATTTCCAGCTGCAGCTGCTTTCCCAGTAAGGGAATTCCCACTTTTTTCAAAGCCTTTTCTCTATTTCCCACAGCATTCCAGGATCCCTACATCCCCTGGGAATAATTCCATCAATCCAAGGAATTGCT